TCTTTCCCTCTTGCATCCTTTCAAGTTTTTGGGTTTTCTTTTCTGTCTTCGTTTTCCTCCTCATCACATCACAACATTTAACTAGCTAGCCAATTAAACTAGGCCCATAATGGGAAGCCCAGAATCCAATTTGCCACCCGGTTTCAGGTTCCACCCAACCGATGAAGAGCTCATTCTTCACTACCTTAGTAAAAAGGTAGCATCCATTCCCTTGCCCGTTTCCATCATTGCTGAGGTTGATATCTACAAGTTGGATCCATGGGACTTGCCAGGTAATTTCTCTTTCTTCAACCTATGTCATAACAAAAATAATAATGTCATGCAAGATATCAATTGGGTGCATGTACTTTGTGGGTGTCCATATAATTTAATCATGATAAAATTAATACTATGTTAGTTAGGGAATTAGTGATGTGTAATTGTGTATCATTTATGTCCACTTGTTACTGTTTGATTTGGGTGCTTTACTTATGGTTTGTTTTGTTGTGGTTTTTTATGATCAGCTAAGGCCACGTTTGGGGAGAAAGAATGGTATTTTTTCAGTCCTAGAGACAGAAAGTACCCAAATGGTGCAAGGCCAAACAGGGCAGCTGCTTCAGGGTATTGGAAAGCCACTGGCACTGATAAAACCATACTGACATCATTGCATGGAGGTGGAACAACCCAAGACAACATTGGTGTTAAGAAGGCTTTGGTGTTCTACAAAGGTAGACCCCCAAAGGGTGTCAAGACCAATTGGATCATGCATGAATATCGCCTTGTAGACAACAACAGACCCATTAAGCTCAAAGACTCCTCCATGAGAGTAAGTCTCCCTAGTTCCAACTAATGACCAAGATTTTAAATTGTGGTCTGTGTTTCTTGATTTATAGAAAATTATGAACAAATGTAATTGATGTGGCTGTTAAGAGTCAAAAACTATTGATATCACAATTACATTTGTAGTCGCAGTAGAAATTATTATATGATCTAAGATCGTGAATTGAGTAAAAAATTTAATTTATAAAAAAGAATTAATTGTGTGTTACATAGAAATTGGTTATAAGATCATGTAACAATACAACTCATATACATTAGTTACTGTGCTATTGCAGTTGGATGACTGGGTGTTATGCCGGATTTACAAGAAATCCAAACATGCTCTAACATCAACAGAGGCAACAATAGGGGTAGGTGAGGTAGATCAAGCAGAAGAGAATCTATTCAAAGAGACCCTTTTGCCAATTTCAAAAACTCCTACAACTCCACCTCAGAACACATTAATATCTCAGAAATCTGTGTCCTTCTCCAACTTGTTAGATGCCATGGACTACTCTGTTCTGAGCAATTTCTTATCTGAGAATAATCATTCAAACCCACCAGGGGTTGGATCAAGTGCAGGCTTCAACACTGGGAATTTGGACCAACAATCCTCTCCAATCAATAGTTACATGTTTCAGAAGAACCCTTCAGCCCCCAACATGGAAATCATGAGGCCAAAGCGCCAAGTTTCAAGCATAGATGAGGACACGTTGTACCCATCAAAGAAATACTCTTGCAACTTCCCTAACATCAATGCCCAATATGAGAACCCACAATGGAACCACCTCATGAAGCAGTCCATGTTGAATCAGCGCTTACTCCTTGGTCCCCATCTTCAATTTCAGTGATAATTTCCAAATTACCAAAAGATTAAGTCAGAAAAAGGAAGAAGAAATAAAAGTTTGAAATAGAAAAATTATAGATAAGAAAAGTAATCAGAAGCTGAACCTATTAAAGAACCCTACCAATTTGATCATTTAGATAAGGATTAGTACATAGGAATTATAGCGGTTTCTTTTTTCTCTTTAATCAATTTGTGCTAAGAAATGAAGAATAGAAGGTTAGGTTGGAAGGAGGAACTATTTGGTAGCTAAGAAGTAAAAGTAAAATTAAAAAAAAAAAATTTAAAAAAAAGAAGATTCCAGCATTCAAGGGTCAAGAAACTGTTGAAACAAAATATCCAAGTTTCTATGACAACTCAGAAACATTTATTGCACAAAATGTGAACTTGTACGTGTTGGGGTTTGGAGGTTAGCTTTTTATAATATACTTTGTAGATAAGGTATTGTACGTGATGATTGTGTTGATATTTTTCATTCTTTTCGGGAAAGTCTAGCTAGCTAAGAATTTTCTTCAGGGATTGGAAAGCAACCATTTGTTATTTCAGTATGATCAATAGTGCAGCTTTATCTTTATCATTCTGGCGTTGCTATTCACATGTTTTTAACCAAATACATGCATTATTGGAGTCACGTTGATCCTCGACCAATAAATTAAGAAACCCATCATTTTAAATAATAATAATAATAAATTACATCAATATGTTATATGGTGAAAAATGAATACGTTTCGTCTTTATTTTCCATCTAATTCTTTTTCCACACCTTCGTTTTTTTCGATGAAAATATCTAGTTGCAGAAGTGGCTCCAAACTTTAGATGCCAAGTCCAACTTTTTTGGTTTCTTTTTAAAAAGTATACTACTACCCAGCCAAGTCCAACTTTGCCATACATATAATAATTGAGCTTGTGTGACTGCAGTTGGTTTAATTTTGTTTTCATAAGAATATGTAAATATTTATTGACTTGAGGTATTTTTCAAGAATTAATATTTCTTTTCCTTTGATCTTTGCAAATTACTACGTTTTTTTTAATATATATTTTGAAATATGTTAAGTTAATTCACTATGAAACGAAGGGAGTATCGAATATAGAAAAAACAAAAGAAAAATACATAATAAAAAAATTTAAAATAAATGTTTGAGTTGAAAATATGATAAAATTATAAGAAATTTGCATTCTATGATACGATTTCTATTATAGCAAATGTTTCTTCTCTACGAATAACAATAAAAGAAATAAAAGTGAGAAATGTAAAGGCCTAAAGATAAATTAATAGTACACGGTCCTAGATTTAAACCTTATCTTGTCATTTTTAATTTTGATGGATAAAATAATAATAATTTACCTCCTTTTGTGTTGAATATTATGAAGAAAAAAAATTGCATTTATTAATCTCAAATATAAATAATTTTTAACTAATTTTACTTTATTTAATACTATAATTTGTAAAATATTTCTTTATATTGTATTTTTAATGATAATTTTTATTTTTAATATCCAATTTTAAGAAAAAAATAGTTTAAAATGCTTTTTTTAAATAATGTTAAATAAATTTTTAATTTGTGCTAACTTAATTTTTATTTATATTCAAAACTTGTGGAAGTTTTTTTATTTTTATTTTAATAATATCTAAAATAAAAAACCATAAAGTTGTAAAAGTTATTTCTTCCATTCTACAATATAATGACCGTAGTTTAAGATTTTTATACACAAATTAAGAACAATAATATATATATATATATATATATATATATA